ATCGTTGATCGCAAAATTAAAGCGAAACTGGAACATAGCGCAAGCCTGTCGTACACCTCTAGTGACGGCAAAAATGAACAGAGCTTACCATAAGCCCACCAGCTTGTTACCTCAGACATTGCAATATTATGCTCGAAAGATGACAATATAGTTTCCGGGTACCCCATTCGTTTGTACGCAACGCCATAAGTAGCCGATCGACGGAGTCGACAGCCGCTCGGATGTCCAGAAAACGATAGTGGGCTGGCGGTAAAGATGACGCGTTTCAAGGGGTGGGTGGAGCGCAAACAAGTAGTCTATACATCCTCGACCGGGACGAAAACCAGACTGTGCTTCAGGGGAGCGCAATTCTCGTATCGTGTTTAGTCTGCGGAGTAGAATTAATGTTAGCAGTTTGGGGGCAACGGACATTAAACTGCTTCCTGGGTGATAGCGCATAGGATAAGGGCACCTTTCTTGAAAATCTGGTAGATAATTGACTCGCACCACGCGGATGGAACTGTTTATTCACGCCAGACCTTAGCGAACAGAGGTATTAGCTGGTTGAAAATTGCTTGACCACCGAACTGTCATAGCTCCGGAGGAAGTCCGTCTGGACCAGCAAGCTTGAATCGCTTCAAATGTAGAAGTTCAAGGCTGACTTCAGCTTCAGTGCGTGGTTCCAATGAGACATACCAAGTCGCGCGTATACTCAGTACGTACGCCAGCGGAGGAGGCCAACTGAATTGAGTGCGGAAGTGTTCAGCCCAGCGGTCCATGCGCCCGTGTAAGTTGGTGATCGGCGTTCCGTCAAGCTCGCAAATGACCTCACTGATACCAGGTCGTTTATGACCAGTGTCCCGAATGAACTGGAAGAGCTCGCGAAATTTCCATCCAGGGCTGCTCTTTGCATTACTGAGGCGCGCTGGGACCGCCAGGTTTCGCGACCAGTTCGCAAGCTTTGCCTGTTGTTAGCTGGGAATGCGACGCATTGCACTGCTATGCCATTCGGTCGGGATAGCACTACAACCATCAAACAATTCCAATGAGTTTGCGGAAATCCAGCCCTTCAGAGGGCGCTTTGTGATTCAGCAGATTGTATGACTGAAAAATAGCATCTTTTCATGCAGGAAACTCTTCGATATCTAGAGGTGGAGTACTAATGAATACATGCGACAATGAAACTTGATAAGCTGCTCGAATAGAGAGGTCAGCTAAAATGTTGGTGTCAAACGTTTGGTGTTTTTGTTTTGAAGAACCGCCGAAGCGCATGCATATGTCTGCGCAGAGCATAGCATGATCTGAATCAAACTAAGTAGAACAAATCAATCTGCAATCCCGGACGCTGCCAGGCCATCTAAAGCTGATTGCAACGTGATCTATTTGTGATCACGCTTGCGTTGGTAAAGGAGGACGCCAGGTGGCTGCACCTCTTTTGGTATGCATAATGTTCGTACTTGAGAGAAATACGGTAGCTTTCGCATATAGAAAGAAGTCTATCATCGTTATCAGAACGACTATCATTAAGCGCGTGACTGCCACCAAAACTGATTCCGCACGGAAGCAGACGACCTACTCTTGCATTGAGATCTCCGGCAAGGAGGATGACATCTGACTTTTCGGCCTTGTTCAAAAGTTTGTGGAGTGCACGATAAAAGTCAGTCGATTGGAGAGTAGACAGGAACGACAAACAACTTGCGCGTCTGTTGATAATACATGAGCCTTGAAGCCGAACCGCACACAGCCGGCTGTCGACTGGAAACCGCTCAAGTAATGCAGCCTCCGCTTTGTCACTAATTGCGACACCGACACCAGCTGAGCCTGCAGATGCTGCCTCCATGTCACCAGACAGACGTAGGTACTTCGTGGTTTCAAGGGCAGCCGAGGACGACAACTTAACCATGGTGTTGGGATCCTGCTATCGAGTATCTGAAAGGCAACAAACATCGATGGCGAGGGAGAGAGTGCACGCAAGGCCAGCCTGTTGCCCAACCTGTATAAGGGTACGAACAGTTTACGCTACCAGGCGGAATGAAGAACGGGGTCGAAGGATAAATGATGGTCGGGCGGTTTGGATGTCAGCGAAACGGCCCTTTTATGTAGATTAAGCAGGTTATAGATTGTGAAAGAGAGAAATGTTGGCGTGTTATGGTGAAGCACGCGTAGCACCAAAAATAGTAGCAGAAGTGAGCGACATAATAGTAATTGCGAAATCCATAGTTTTCACAGAGGACACGTTAATACCCGGTTGCCCATGCCAAAGTAAGGACTTGTCTTAGGGAACACCACCCCGAGTCTTTGGCTCAAAATCCTACTCGCAAGGCAGCGGAACGAAGTCAGTGCTTCGCGCACATTGGGAGCGGATAACTGCTTGCTCAGTGCATATACCTCTCGTTTGGCGAGTAGCCAAACAGGAGGCTACTCCTCCTGGAGCGGATAACACTCATCCGAATGCATACAATCGAGCCGTTAGACGGCTCCTTTCAGCGATGGGTAGACTAGAATATAGTTTCGTCAAAGTAACAATGGGGCTCCTTCACCTGTATTCATAAAGCAGGAAGTTAATCCGAGTCTGCCAATTACCACCAGGCAAAGGTCCTCACTATGCTCACCAAGATTATGCAAACGATACTCACAGACCCATTGATAGGCTGCCCGGAAAGCTAGTATTATGGCGCCGGGGAAGCATGGTTTTCGCCGACATCGATTGTGCACTATGAACTTGCAAATTACACGTGTCTGCCGGGCTGTTGCGGTTGACAAGGGGACAGCGACCGATGTCATTCAATTAAACTGCACGAAAGAATTCGGTTGCTTGGATCATTATATATTGTTTTGAAAATCTCAAAACCACGGTATTGGTGCTTTAGTGTTGATGGATCGGAAACTTTGTTTACAAATGGAGCTGGATGTTACAGCTCGAAGGGTATTTTCTGACTTGATTCCAGTGGAATGCGACGTATCGCAAGGTTCGATATTTAGCATCATGTATTCCAGGACTCTATTAAACATCTAGAGAGAGAGAGTTACCGTCTTAGAGATTTTACTCTTCCTAGATGATATTAAGATTGGACGAGTGATTTGGGTATTGGACGGGCAAAATCTTATCTAGCGCCACCTTGATGAAGACTGGAATAGGTCGGCGAAGAACAAGTTGCCATTAAACGTAGACATGTGCCAACTTCTTCTTCGTGAACAGCACGCCCAAATCTAACACATCGATGCGCTTTTAAAGAACAACCTCGGTTGTTTCAGACAATCTGCGACGGCTTCAAAAAGAAGTAAACAACATATAAGTCTGTTGTGAAAAGCGCTCGGCAATTTGGGCTCATCTATCCTCCTTGATGCTCAATGTCTACTTGCGTCGCAAGTCGATTACCCTCTCCAGACTTGCCAACTTCGCAACATCCGAGACTCAAAATCCCCGGGCAACGACGAACGTCAGTAGCCTGAACCACCGGTACCAGGAATACCTGAAGAAACTTAGTATGTTCAGTAGACCCTACGAGCAGCTACGGAACAACCTCGTAATTCTGGAGTGAATAATGATCGATCTAAGTCACGTATATCGCCATCTTTTAAAGCTCGGCCGGAGATTTAATCTGAGAGGCAATGGCTTACAACTAAGTCAACAATACAGTTGTCTAGTTCGTCGAAGTAATTACTTTTTCTCAGGGTTTTCGTTTCCAGGGTGCTATATAAGCTCAACTCTCTATGCCACCACCTTAGTCATTTACAAAAATCCTATGGATATCGCAATAAACTCCATGCATTTTAAACCAATTACTTCTCTTCAGAAATTTGAAAAGCACGGTAGGAAGAGGAAGGCTGGTAGATGCATGCATTTCGTATTGTCTCCTCAGTACCATTAACAATAACCGGTATGCAACTATATACTTAACTATGGGTGTGACCAAATAAGCATTTCACACCTCATGCTTATTTGCTCACACCCATAGTTTATAAAATTGCTTACCGGTTATTGTTAATGGTACTGAGGAGACAATACGGAATGCATGCATCTGCCAGCTTTCGTCTTCTTCCCGGGTTTTCCATACGATTTGTCACATGCATGGATACTACGGAATAAATTACAGGGAACTAATTTCTTTGTAATTATAATCGAAGCTTTTGTAAGGAAATCGGCAAATACAGGTGAGTCACTAGATTGTGTATTACATGAGATGTTATTGATAGTAACTAAATGCGCGTTTTTGCTTGGTACTATCCCACTTCAATGATATCGCTTCTAAAATGGCATTGTCCTGTTGCTTTGGTGTATCGCATGTCTAAGCTTAATCTTTCCCCTTCTCTACCTGATTTTCTTACGGGATTGATTAAACAAACGCTTTTTTAATCATCGTAAACCGTCGCTTCACTGTTGTATTGCTCATCGTGCTTTGTCCGTCTTTGTGGCGGATCTTTAGGGTTAGTTGAGTCAAATATATTTTCCCGTACCACAAATATCTAGCCATACTTTAGCATTCAGCATGCCGTCTCGGATTTAATAGTGGCTGTTTCCTTATTAGCACAATAGATCACTCCACCGCCCGATGCCGGACATTCATTGGCTGGTCGTAAAATATAGCATCTTATTTCCAGATGCGGTAAAATATAAGAGCAAGGAGGAAGAAACCTGGTTACAAAAGGAGACAGAACAGTTTACACAAAAAGAACTACTTTGGTGATTACTTTCTTTTTCGTACATGATGTTGTCTTTGCGTATTGTGAACTTCACCAGACAGGTGGCACTTCGAAAATGTACCGCAAGTGGCAGTGCGAGGTTAGTCAATACTGCCGGGTTATTTTTATAGGGGACAAACACGTAGGAACATCTACTGTTCAAAGGGAAGTACAGCTCAACCTTTCTCAGCGAACGTCCGATGAGTGACAATTGCCGCAACTAAGAGGCTCATCGGAAACTCAACGTGCGCTCGTCGCACACTGTTTTCAATGGAGCTCATTGCGTTGTCCTAGCCACTGTGTGCCGTTTCCTTAGGGATGCAATAGACGATCATGCGTTCAAGGTTTTTCAAACAGGTAACACCCTCAGAAAATCCAAACGATAAAGTGAACTGGCAGAAGAATTCAAAAATTAAGAAATTTGCAACCAAAAAGTTGAGTGCTAGTTTGTCGACCAGCGAATCGTTTAACCGAGGAAGGGAACACGTTAACACATGTCACAGGGAAATATTCGTATTTTAAGTATAAATAAATGGAAATCACCGGGATAGATTCATGTATTCCGTGGTCAAATTTGGACTGATTTATAGTGAGCAATTCGACCAGATGTGGAATCAGGAACGCTTCCATTGTTCTTGCGGTTTAGATGGCAGGGCGACGGTTTACGACGGAGAAATGTGCCGATGCTCCGGAACTCTGAGTGCACGCGTTCTTTGCCTTCACTGAATCCTACCGATTTCCTTCGGATCGCATTGACAGACTCTGTGTGCTCAACGGGACGGTGATTCATCAAAGAGAATCGGCGTTCCCTTGGGCACAAACTGCACGGCATTCCGTTAGAGGAACCTGTACGCAGTTTACTGAGACTGATTGATCTATCCAAGCCACCAGTGTGGCAAATGTGCAGTGGAGGCAACGAGCCTTTGCTGCAGCTATCTGCGCTTTGCATGTAAAAGCTTGGGTGCAGCATTTCATCTGTAACACAGAAAGGACGTGTAAAATGAGCTTATAGTTATTCTGCTGTCAGTATCATCTTTGAGTGGAAATGGACGTTGACTTTAAACACCGGGGCAGAGAATAGCAGTGGCATAGCGACGGGTGGGTACACTCTGCGGTTTTCTGCCAAAGCAAAATGTGTCACAGTGAGGTAGCTGTACTCAACGAAATGTTTCAAAACTCAGCAGCAATTTTTAATCAAATCCCCATTAGTTAATTCCGCTGCAACCAAGTTCCATCAAACGTAAACATGGATTACATTGGTCTGTGTTACGCGTGCCTATTTCCTACTATACTTACTTGATGTGAAGTCTACGTCTAAGTTATTTGAGTATATCTGTCTGTGATTATTAGTGCGTTTGAAACGCCACTCAGAAAAATTCCCCCATCTCAAAATCTTTGTACCACGATTCTCATGCCCAGTTACGGGTCTGCGGAAAACTACCTCCTACCTTAGTCCCCACAAGTGGTTGTGGTCGGAATATTTTTTGGTCCTTACCTCTAAATTTGGACTCGAAATGACCATACATACTTCGCGCATAGCTTCTTCCACAACTTTCAATGATAAATTTTGTTTTTGACTGACTGTTAAGCTTGAAGCATGTGGAGTACACAGCATTTTTGGGTAGCAACCGGTTGCTATGTCCGTGTTATTGGTAAAGCTACGTATCAAGCAACTCCACTTCTTACCGATCAACCACCATATGTAGCAGTTCTCTTAACTTAGCTGGGTAGCAATGGAAGTACTACCAAACTGGTTATCATATGCGTTGTTAAAGTTTACATGATGTTTAAAAACGCTGGTTACTTGCGCAGAAAGCGTGAAATAAAGACTCGCTTGAGGAAAGTGGTAAAACGTCTAGGTGCAGCTCGTCCCTAAATAGATCAGGACGCTAACCAATGCACATTGGGATTACCAAACAACTATTCTTGCTTGGCTAGTGATGCTCAAGGAGTGCTTTACACATCGGATGAGAGCAACACGTCAGCAATAGTTTGGTGTTCCTCCTCTTGCGATTCGCAGCGTCCCCCTTGGGAATTCATCTAGATGTCTATTAAGCTGGGTAACCCCATTTGTTCGGGCATGTGCCCCGCGCGCCAGTTGGCCAATTGCGTCAGTGTATACTTTTGGCTATCTGGCAGAGTCTCCGGCTAGTCTAATAATAACACGATGTGGCCAGTCAAGGATATGGTCCAGTCTATTCAACACTTCACCTTATGCACCTATGAAGAATGGATATTCTGCCAAATAGCAAAGGAGCACGAACATACCCTGGAAGGGTAAGTAAGGCTGGCCCTTGTCATTGCGTTGAATATTCAACTCAAAATATGTCAGATTAGTTACTGTACACTTATCGGATATGGCACCGCCGAAAAATTAGGTGCACTTTCGCATTTGTTCACTTATTTTCGGATCTCAATTGTTCCACTTCTCGATAAGAATCTTTCTCACATATCCCCTTTAATTACCAGACGGTCATGACGATTATCATTTACAGAGTAACTGCGCTGTACTCTGTCACAGACATTCGTTTTTCACTTTTCACTTAGCACAGTAATCATAAACGCACTCGGATTTTATTAACTTCCCTTATGTAGCGGTAACATTTACTGAATGAATTCTTTTGGAATTTAATTTATTTTACTCATTGTTTTCGCACGCTTCGTGCTCGTATCCAGACGCGCAAGTCTGTTTTTAACAATGGCCATTGCTATTGAATTGTGATGGATAAACGATTCTCCTAGATTTAAACTTACGGGAGCATTTTGAAAAATTCTGAGGTTTGGTTTGTGGTTTCACTTGCATTCCCTCATCGCCGACACTTTATTCACCGAAACCTACCGAGCACAAACCAAATTGAAGGCCTAAACCAAACAAGAACCACGTTGGACCAATAGGGCATCCAAACCAACTGAAAGTGTGTCCTTGCCGCAACACACATAACTGAGATCGTGCCACTGGGACAAATAACATGAGAATCCCTCTTCATCTATCCCGCGTAACCGAACAACTGCAACCTTTCAATACAACAACATCCGTAACGGAAGGTGCTTCCACTTGATGGCAACTGGGTGAAGACAAAATGAGCCCGAGGAGTCAGGAGAGGCATCACTTGTACAAACTGTGGCCTCGCATTCCATCCCATTTGTGTTGGTGTAAGTCACTTAGCATTTGCGCTCTGGTTTCGAAACATACGCAGTCTAATTCCAATGGTCAATTGCATAATGTTGCTTACGAAGAAGTGTGAAAAGCTGATTGAAACAATTTAGCAGATGGCGAACTTCAGAGCATTGCCAATGAACTTTAACAAGACTGATCATGTCTTACAGCAAATGACACAGTGTTGGGTCGCTACGTCGAAGTGTAATGTCGGTCTCGCTACCCACCCAACAGCATCTGCGTCATCTACCCCGACACTTACTTACCCCCTGAGTAGGCGAGTCAATTAGACTTGAGTGCTTTTAACTCAGCCTTGGATGCCACACCTGACAAGTTGGCTACAACACCGCAGGCCAGAGCCGAACAACATACGCATCGGCCTCCACGGTTAAAACGCCAGTGGTGCCATTCGAATGTATCTTAACTAAACCAAGCACGAGCAAAGCGACGCAGGTTTCACGGCATTCTTTAGTGCCTGCTAAACAATCCAAGTTGCTAGCGACAACATGCAAATAGACATTCGGTAGCCAAAAACAGTGTGTTAACTACCGTGTGCATTAAGCTTCCCGAGTAAAAATTTGGGATAAAAATAGAACGTTGCTAGAAGATCGTAACCAATGGAACTCCATATATGATGCGATTGGTATTCCGGTTTAGCCCATTATGCAGAGAAGCGGAGCCGGCAATCAAATTCAGTACATTGTGGTAAACCTTTATTACTTTGAGTAACATTGAAGTAAGCAGATTAGACAGAGACAGTCCTACTCTCAGCAGTTGGTTTTCTCAACTCGTCGAGCGCGGTACACATACTACCAGAGCTCCCGTGAAATGGTCGGTCAAAAATGGACGATCATAGGGGCCCTTATACCAAACGAAAGAAAGAATATCATATTCGTTCATCATGTGCCTGAACTACAGGCTTCTCCTGATCACGAAGCGCTAGCTCGTGAGTGAGAGCAGTGATGTTATCTCCACGCTGCAATGTCATTAGCCGGCGTTGTCGCCAACTCATTGACGAGAATTCCTTCACCTACAAACTACAAGGGCTGCAGTCCAAAACTATTAAAATTGGTGCCTCAATACGCGGTGATGCGAAAAACCCTATTGGCTAGCTGGTTGAAGTATCGCTCCAGGTTGCCAACCGAAATGGGGTTAAATCTAGCACACCCACTTCAACGGGTGGTCAGGACCTCATCGGACATGCAACCTCAGTAAAACCTTTGACTACAATGTTTTGCAAAGTGCTAGACACAATAACACTCGCCACACCTGACAAGACGCAAGGAAGCAGTAGAGAACAGCACGGTCTATAACGCTCTGTGTACTCATACAGCCTGATCAGAATACAAGAGCAAAGGACCCACGCAAAAGACGATTTGCGGCCAACCGGCAAACGGTCGTCTTAAAACTACACAAAGTTGATGTCGACTAACATACTTCGAACATCCAAAACACTGTGCTGTTTGTATACTAATGCACAAGCCTTTGTAATAAATTGGCCGAACGTAGGGAACACCAGATGTCACAGCCAGTGTTTCTAATTATGATTACGGTGACCTGGTAATGCTTTGCTTAACCTGATTCCGAGAACCATTTACCTGATATGTCACTGATTCGAAATGACACAGCTGGAAGAGGTGGTGGCGTACTTTGGTTTTACAAGGCCAAACTCCGATGTTAACTTATTAATCACCTAGAAATCGGCGCAGCATATTGGCTATGGCGCCGACTTTAGTTGCAGAACAAAGACACATGTCTTCTGGCTGTGATTTACCGTCTACCAAACTCAACCCCAGGAAATACACTCCAAATTGAACCACGTTCTTCAGGTTGCTTTGAGCAATCAATACAGTCACCTTCTCATCGCAACCGACTTGAATGTGCACGAGCTGGAACTAGCGTTAACCGATAGCATGCAATTCAAAACCTGTTTGCGAGACCTTACTTTTAGCTACTATCTTTACAAACACGTGATATCTCAGATCAGAGTTCGATCTGCTAACAGGCCGTAGATAGTTGATCTTGTGCTAACCAACTAAGAATTCATGATCGGCGGCTTAGTATCAAACACACCATTAGCTCGCAGTGAACATGTTACTATATTGTTTAACTGGGTATGCTACGCAAACTATCTTTAAGAAGATGATAATAAACTGTATACGTTCACTCACTATAACATGTTATCCGCGCTTGTTAAAGAAGCAACTTGATGTTGAGTACCCCTCAGGAATCGCCTGAGAAACGGTTATAACTACCTTCAGCACACCGGTCAAAGGAGTAATAAGCCAGTTTTGAAGAACGGAACTCATAAATGCGTGTGCTTGAGGACTTAGCATGGACAGCTCACAAGAATTTCACGAATCCTGACACTTGGACCGCTAACTAGATACAGCATAACCCTTGTGTGAAGTCGATCCGCGCGAAGCAGTTGACGCACCAGCAGAAGTTAATGAAACGACTCTGCACGAACCGCAAACATATACAGTCATGTTAATGGTCCTAATAAGGTGCTGCGCGGAATTCTAGCAGTGCCCACGACTGCCAGGTGCACGCCAGCAGCAGCGGAAGCAGCCAATTTCTTACATGGCCATTACATACGTTCCAGATATTAACATGCACAGCGATTGTCCATGTTTCCTTCGTTCCACCGTCAGCTTTGTCCAATATCACTTTTACTGCAGCTGTGTTAGAAACTGTTGTCCCTGCGTGTCCACAGCTCTTCTGGTATCGATAACCACCGACAGGCAGCAGCTAGTGACCTGGTGGATCCTCGGGCTATACTCCAACAGCGCTGTCTAAAGGAGAAACAAATTCCAGCAATATGGAAGCGTAAGGTCATCACTCCTATTCATAAGGAAGGTTATCGCACTGATTCAACCAATTACCGTCCGATAACGCTGCTTCCTGTGCCTTCCAAAATTATGGAGTCTATCATCGCAGATACGCTCATGCCGCATCTGCAAAATAGCATAATATTTCCAGAGCAGCAGGGCTTCTGACAAACGCGCTCATGCACTACGAACCTGCTAATTGCACTCTATAGCTGGACTGAAGCAGTTAAGGGTGGAGCAGGAGTTGGTCATATACCTGGACTTCTCCAAAGCCTTTGATCGCTTAGACCACCTAATTCGCTACTATAAACTTCAGCTCTATGGCACTGATGACCCATTCCTGCGTTGGAAAGGCAAGTTCCTTCACGAACTTTGGTTAGAGATGAGAGTACGTGGCTCCGTGTCCGACGCAATTGAGGTGGAGTACGGTGTACCCGAAGGTTGGGTTCCATGGCCTCGTCTATTCTTGGTTTTTCTAAAAGATTTAGCGAGGGCGATACGTTTAGATTTCCTATTCTGTGCTGATGATATCAAGAGATAGCGAGCGATCAGGGGACCAGCCGACTATGAAGTAATCCAGCGTAAACTTAACACGACTTTGAACTGGTCAACTAAAAAAGCCGTACTATTCGGTGTGGGAAATGGTCGCATTGTTCACTTATGCCATAAGCATGACTACGTGTATTGGCTTGGGTAAAAAATAAAGCAAAACAAGACCCAGGAACGCAACCTCGGTGTGCTCATTCAAAGTGCCCTTAACTGTTCAAAACAGACTGAGGCAGCTGCGCTTGGGAGCAACCAGCACGCGGGTGTGCTACACAACGCATTTGGGAGTTTTCACCCATCCATTTTCCCCATGATGCACAACGCTTATGTGCTCCCTCACATTGAATACACCATCCAAACTTGGCAAACTTGGTTGAAGCGTGACCTCGATGTGCTAGAGAGACCACAAAGCAGGGCAACAAGGACTGTCAAAAGCCTACGAGATCTGGCCTACCAGCAAGGGCTGAAGTCACTGGGAGTTTTCAGTGGCAGTTACCAAAGGCCGCGTAGCGATCGCACAGTAGTTTATCAAATATTGAGTGACCTTATTCATGCGTCGTCACTTACTGGAACTCAGTCATAACACCAATTTTAGAGGTTACCGTTTGAAACTGAAGAAACAATATAGCCGTCTGGAATGCCAGCAGAGTAATTTTAATCTCCGGATTTGCCAACCCTGGAACGCACTCTTAAACACAGTCGTTGTTGTTGTTGTCTCCCATCCCTTTGTGGTCTCAACTGGGCTAATTTTGAATATATTAATATGCTTTCAAGTCGGATTAATACGTAACCTTAACCTATGGAGGCGGTACATACCAGAGTATACTTGTTTTTAATTTTCTCATGGAGTACATCATTCACAAATGCCGCCATGTTGCCTCGTTATTCGCATCTAATGCACATTTACACGACTGTTATTCAACGAAGCGTTTGCTCACTAGACACTCAAACAACCAAAATTGGTAGTAAAGTTTTAAGGTTACTAGCCTGTGGGACTTGTCAAGTAATTGCTTATTTCCCCGTGATAAAGCGTTACTCATTGTTCATGAGTACTAGGAGTAATATTACTGTTAGCTTGGTTACTTGCATCAAGAAATCATAGCCACTTCATCTCGATGAATGGCCCGTGGGGGTTCAACAAAACGAAACGAATCTGTCCATCCAACTAGTAATTATCGATCGTACATTTTATACCACTCCACTAGGAGAATGATATTCCTACCCAGTGGGACTGGGTCGTTGCGGTGCAACCCAAAGTCGGTGTCCAGAGAAGCCAGTCTACTCGCAACAAATGTTGTTTCTAATAAAAATTAATGTTAGCCGATAAACTCTGATTGTTGCCGAAGCGCTGATGAACTTCTTGGAAGAACGCAATATCATAACACAAGAACAACATGGGTTTCGCAAGAACCGATCTTGTACTTCAAACTTGCTGCTTGCCAGATCCAGTTGGACTGAGACCGTTGACAGCCGCGTAGGTGTTGACGCAGTATACCTGGACTTCTCAATGGCTTTCGACCGTCTGAACGACCGTATCCTCCTTCACAAGCTGCAGTGTTGTGGAATTGGTGACCCAATCCTCGGTTGGATAGCTAACTTCTTGTTTCAACAGCATCTGAATGTAAGAGTTCGCGGCGTCATCTCTGACCCAATCGATGTTAAGTGCCGAGTGCCCCAGGGCTCAGTACTTGGTCCACGACTACTCCTGGTTTACATAAACGATCTCGCAACAGTAATCAACTCCAACTCCTTACTCTACGCTGATGATCTCAAGATATGGCGGACCATTAGAACAATCAGCGACAATGCAGCACTTCAGGATGATCTGGACAGGGTCTACGAATGGTCGACTCAGAACCTGCTTCAGTTCAACGCTACAAAGTGCAAGGTGCTGAGCATACGCCATAAAGCCACTTACGAATCCAGACTGGGGGATCAAATATTGCAGCGTACTACAACGGAATGCGATCCAGGAGTGGTAGTGCAGGAAGATCTGGGCTGTTCCCGTCAGGCCGAGAAAGCCTCCAAAAAAGCTAACCAAAACCTTGGCCTTTTGCGGAGGGCATTCGGGAGCTTCGATCCTTCCATCTTTTCTCAGATGCTCAACGCGTACATTCGGCCTCATTCTGAGTACGCCATCCACGCCTGGCAGCCATGACAAAAACAAGACCTTACCGCTCTTGAACTGTCACAACGAAGGGCGACCAAGAAAGTAAAGGGCCTGTTTCATCTCCCTTACCGATTGAGGCTGAAAACCCTCGGGGTCTACAGTGGACAATATCGACGCCTGCGTGGCGACTTGATAATGACTTATATGATCCTGAGAAATCCAAACCATTGTTGTCATCACCTACTAAAGCTGAATAACAATACAACACTCAGAGGACACCAGCTAAAGCTGGCCACACACTACAGCCGGTCGGAATGCCGCCGGAATTTCTTTTCCCTTCGTGTAGGCGAACACTGGAACGCTCTTCCCACATACGTTGTTTCTTCCCCCACACTAACGGTATTCAAAAGACGTCTCGATGATTCGCTTATCCACCTAAATTACGCTACCTAATCAGAGATGTCATGTCAAACAAACGCGAAAAAACGGTGCTCATGCTCAGCTTTTGTGCTTCACTATTTACACACTGCTGTTGTGGAATATAGTCTCGGATATATTACACCTGCATTCATTAGTTTACCCAAGTCCAAGAAAGCGGCGCACGAGTAAGCGTTGGTCGTTTCTCTTGTTCTTAAGACATGACTTACACATATTACTTCCCATATTACTCTACAGAAACGATTCAGTACATGTTCTATAACGTTTCTATGAATAAGGGGCACTTGAATTCACTACACGCTTAAATTGACGATTTACACTTATGTTTACTTTCACTTCAACCATCCTACGGGACTTGTAAAGCAATCGCTTTTTTACCTGTAATATATCATTGTTCATTTTGCAACCTCTTTCTTTGTTAATCTTATAGGTGGGGCTGTTGGACAGGAGTAGGATCCAGTTTACTCTCAGGATCAGAGCAGTTCAGAAACGGGTTATTCGTAGGTATCAGGATATTTATGGGGTTTTTAGAAGATTCCTAGCAGCTGGACTTGGCCACCGCACATCTTATAATGTGCTGGATGTGTGGTGGCTACCTGACCAAGTGCAAGTGCGACAACGCTGTTCAAAAACGTCAATTATGGTGTTTACAAACTCGATGGGTGCGTAAATTGTCCCACTAAAGCTGAGTGGCAGGTTGCAAATCTGAGAAGCAGTTTCCTTGCAGAACACAAATGTTCGATGTGCTCAGAATAACTTATGAAGTTAGTGTTCCTGTTTCGCGTCAGTGATCTGGCAGCGATTCATGTAATTGCTACAAGCAAACAGGAAAGCTGTGACGAAGTGGCGGACATGGGTGGTCCCTTGAACTCAGTTGTGTCAGTCGCTAAGATTTCGAGATCTTTTAATAACCTACTTGACCAACTCAACGATATCTCAACCGATTAACGCCTGTACAAAAGTCTTGAAAACTAGTCACTAGGCTTTCAAACAGTCCGTAAAATTTTTAGGTAACCATAGTTTGACGACAAGCCCTGTAACGTGACACAAGTACTTAATATTTCCTGAGAGATGCCGCGAATGCATGGCGAGTGATCACGATATTTGAAATTGGAGAAGCTGTAGATTAAGACGAGAAACTTCTTTTAAGCTGCAACTATGAATTCATATACAGTAGGATCAAGAACATGTAAAGATAACCACATGGTGCTCATACTGATGTACGGAGAAGTTGGAAGTGAACATATTCGGTGTATAAAACGACGCGAATGTATCGCCTATTGGTCTGGTTCTCAATAGTTCAGCATCAACGCCATCTTCTATGTGACGAGCATTATGTGGCTGCCACTGATGAGAGCATCGTTAAAGAGGGAAAACCCGAGCTGATTGTACACATTGATGATATCGAACACACCACTACAGTTGTTGTCGGGAAGAAATGTCCATCAGGTACAAAAAAGCGTTTGGAGCTCTCGTCTAAAACGAATATTGAGATCCATAACATTCGCAGTGTATTGCTGGTGGTGACCAGAAACAAAGTGAGAGATGCAAGCAAAGGCGTCGAAATTACGGTAACACAAGCAACATTGTACCTCAGACACAGATGCGTTTAAGAAATCGGCTGCAGGACTATAAGTTTTATTGGTAATACGGCCTTCCAACCGAATATGAGCGTACAAGGAATTCGTAAAATTCCATGCAGCTTATTGCTGATCTGTGTAATTCAGAAGTTGATGAACCAAGATGGTGAGTTCATTCTGCAAATGATCTCTAACGCAACTGCCATCGACGCAAAGCGACCTTTAAGATTGACATAGTACGAGTGAAGGAATGCATGAATAGTTGACGCGATATAAAGACGCAAACGTACTCGCTAGGTGAAATGTTTCCCGATCGAAACTGCGGTTCGTTGAGACTTTGGAAGTGCCGATTGTCAAGGAAATCGGTAGTAGAAGTGGACTATAACATCCCCAAACATCATTTTTGGCATGCCGCTTAATTGACCACATTTCACCAACCAGCCGCTGTGACAACTTCAGGTTGTTCCCCGAAAACCATGTCTGATTTGGGGAATATAGCCGCTCGATGTCGTGGGAGACCATCGCATGGTAGCTTTGCTGCTCAATAGCTAGTTGCCATTCATTAGGAAGCCACAGGTGCGTGAGACGCTTCAATCTGAAATACACTACTCCCACACTGTATGACACATCAATGCAAGAGACTCCTTCCAATCCAGACGCTGTGACTGGAGGTATTTGGAAGGTATCTTCTAAGACGGCACGAAACAAATGCTCTTCGTTTGCTTGACGACTTTTCATCTCCCCGAGGTAAACGTCTCGTTCTTCCTCAGCTATCACATGATTCGTGCGATCCTTGTAGGTAACCAACTGAAAGAGCAGACAAAAGTCTGAGTACATGTGTAATAACGTCACTACACAGCAACAAAAGTGATTGAGCAAATTTACTTAGTGCATTACAACTAAAACTCCATACTAACACCAAACTAAGACGCTGCTAATCGAAGCTATCATAACAGTGTGTCCGAAAGGAATATCGCATAAATTGCTGTTCTGTTCGCACTCCCAGCATCAGCCGTTTTTGGATCAGCATTCAATATATGTTGAACATAGTTAGACGAATCACTCAGTGACCCGCGATTTGTCGCTTAGCGTTGTCATTCCGAATCACTTAGAGAGGAGGCAATTTGGATTTACAATCCGTCGCCTACTCGGGCTGTGAAGCAATAAAATTACTACTGCTACTACTATTACTAATAAACATGTATATTTCTCCTGATGCGAAAAAGTGTGTTTGTAGCGGCAAAGAGCAATGCGTGCAAAACTATCCATGCTCTTTCATGGGGGATATACATATTGAAGTATGCGTTGCACATAGTTACTTGGTGGAGGGTTGTGGCGAAAGCTTAGTTTTGGAACCATTGGTATTTGGATGCTTTTGGGCCCCTCATCGAAGAATATTTCCAATGTGAATATAGTGCTTTAAGTATTTAGATCAAGGTAATTGGAATTTGGTTCTAAATGTTGCCACGTCACATGACTTGAGTGTGATTGGTAGTTTATTCCATCATCCTCATCACCATCATCATCCTCATCATCCTCATTATGCACGTTAGCTAGAGGCGTAAAACACCTCGGCTACTGCACCGCAATACAAAAAAGCAATAAAGTACATAAATGCAACAGTTGTATGCCAGCTGTGCTAACAGCAATGGATGGGCATTGTTCCGGAAAGCTACCAGTCGGCTAATAGACAACAAAATAATTATTGTGTAAAATTATATAATGCTACGAACTGAGATCGTGGTTGAAGGGGAAAGGCTAAATAGGATGGGGAGGGACAAAGATGCTCACAGCAGGAGCGTCACCGAAGTCAGCTCATAGCCGTGTCAGCAAGTGTATCTAGCCAAACGTGTTCATCGTTTTTGAACCCAAACCAGGGAGCCATGACGCTCTAACCAAGGCCAGCTCCGAAGTGAGGGCCTTCTTTCCTCTCGATCCAGTCATCGTTCGGCCACCCCTCCTCTTCTTCCATCCACACCCCCGGCGAGCAAACAATGCAGGTCGCGGGTGCCTGTGAACTGGCAAGCGTAACACGTGGCCGAGCCATCGGAGCCTGGTGCTTGAAATGACGGTGTTGAGCGGTTCTGCTCATGTTTCTTGTGTCATAAACAGGGCGCCGAACACGCTCGTTACTCACGCGGTGTTCGTACCAGATGTGAACCAAACAGTGAAGGCACCGGTGGTCAAACGTATCAAGGACCTTTATGTCGGCTGATCTAAGGGACCAGGTTTCGCAACAGCACAGTAAGGGCGAAAGTACCGCTGCGTTGTAAACTATACACTTCAAGGAGTTAGTGGGGTTGCGCCTCCGCCATAGGTTGCGAAGACTAGCAAAAGCACCGCGAGCTTTTTTGTGCGGTTCGTGAGCACATCTTCGATCCCAAGGGGGCTGATGCAACTTCCCAAGTAATTGAACTTCTGAACGACTTTAGCTGATCTCCACCAAGGGTCAACGCAGGAGGCTATCCCTGCCAACCTAGGGGGCAAGTTTTGCACTTCGATGGTGCAAAGCAAAGCCCGAAGCGACTTGCAGCCAGTGCTAATCTGTCCAGTGCGCCTATGAACGTCCGGGAGCTGTCACAGATGAGGGCAACATCGTCTGCATATTCCAAGTCAAGAAGTCGTTCTCGTAGGATTACCTGCACACCTTCTAAGCCTTGTCTTGTACACGCAAGCTCTATGACTTTGTCAATAACGAAGTTGAAGAGGAAAGGTGACAACGGGAATCTTTATCTCACACCGGTGGAGATATTGAAAGGCGGCGACAGCTTGCCGCAAGCCCTCACTCTGCGTATAATACTCGGATAATATTTACATATTTCTCTGTCACCTTTCCTGAGTAGACAGTCCCAAAGGGCAGATCGATCAACTGAACCCAAGGCAACTTTGAGATCGAGAAACACGACTACGGTGGGCCGCCAATAAATGTGCTGGTGCTCCAACAATTGACGCAAAGTGAAGATATGGTCGATGCAACCTCGATTTCGACGAAACCCGGCTTGCTGTTCAAGAATATGGCTTTCACGAGTGCCAGTCAGTCTGTGACGGATGACAGAGGCAAGCAATTTGGAGGCGATGGAGATCAGACTGATTCCTCTATGGTTGCCGCATTATGATAGTGCGCCTCCTTTGAAGATGGAACAATAACGGAGCGGCTCCACTCGGTTAGGACAGTTTCTTGTTCCCACAGTTGCACTTGTAATTTGTGTAAATCACCAACAAGTGCATGGAACCCGAATTTGAAGAGGGCTGGATGAAGATCATGTGGTCCCGTGGCTGTGTTCAACTCCAACAGTTCTATCTCACAATGAACAATGATTTATAACGAGTAAATAAGCAGGTAGTTGACATGTCCCGTAAGCTGATTAGAATGAGAAAAGATAGATCAAGGGATAATGGAATCGTCGGTTCGGGCGGTTACAGATTTAACTGCACTGCCGTAAAAACTAAGTTGGAAATTAAAATGTGTGCACACAAAGTAATAAGGGGAGTGGTTATTGATCACGGAATACGTAAGAAAAAAGTAAGAAAAATAGCAAGAACATCGTTTACCCGTGTGCAGCTATCTCGGGTCGAGGTGATACAGAAATCCAGTTTCTGCAATGGTAGCTTTTATCAAATGGTGTGCAGGGGGTTCGGAGCTACTCCTTCTCAAATAGGGTTATGGTACTGTCCACTGTCTGTTAAGCATTAGTGCCAGCATCTGGTGGATATGGGCTAAAGCACATAGTGTAGATGTGACAGAGTATCGTCAAGGCGTTTTTTGAAAAGGGATAGGATGGGAGCATTAATTACGTGTTCCGGGAGGACGTTCCAAGTCTGTGATACTTGAAGAGAGAAAACGTTTCTCCGACATTACAGTCGGCAGTACTGCGTGACCTGCTTAAACTGATGACCTCTTGGTGGGGTGTTTTGTCTGAGTATCAGAAGGGAATGGCATGAGTGGTTGGGGTTTCTCAGAATCTAGTACACCATTATAAGATCGTCCCTTAGACGCCGATACCGTCCACTGTATATTTTGAGGGTCTTCAGCCTGAGTGGGTAGGGGAGGCTGGTCAAACCTCTGACGCTCATCGTTGCCCTACTTTGTGCCGTATCGAGCGCGGTGAGATGGTGCTTGAGCCAGAGTTGCCACGCTTGAATAGCGTACTCCACGTGCGGCCTCACGTACGCACTAAGCGTTTTGGGAAGACTGAAGGGTCAAACTTCCCGAAGGCTCTACGAAGAAGGCCGAGGTACTGGTTCGCTTTCTTAGCTGCCTTTTCAGTCTGCCTCGAACAACCGAGGTCATTTTGAACTATCACACCGAGATTGCACTCGTGAGAAGCCCGCTGTAGAATTTGTGGTTCTAGGCGGTAGTTGTGCATACTCTTGTGCCGTATACTGAGAACTTTGTACTTGGTGACGTTGAAATGCAGCGTTTTCTCGATGGACCATGTGTACGCTTTGTCCAGGTCCTCCTGTAAGAACGTGTGATCCTCCACTGCAGCTATAGTGCGCCATACCTTTAGGTCATCAGCAAATAGCAAACAGTTAGAATATAGCACAATCGCGAGATCATTTACGAAGACCAGGAACAGGCGAGGTCCAAGTACCGAGCCTTGAGTTACGCTGCACTGAACTTCGATGGATTCCGACAGGTTGCATCGAACCCTCACATTCAGGTGACGCTGCACGAGAAAGTCTCCTATCCAGCCCAGAACAGCATCGTAGATTCCATAATTCTGAAGTTTGTAGAGTAGAACGCTATGGTCTAGACGGTCGAATGCCTTTGAGAAATCCAGGTAGGCCGCGTCGACTCCTATACAAGCGTCCGTATATTCCGTCCACCTTGCGCGAGCAATCAACAGATTAGTGGTACAGGACCGATTTTGGCGAACTCCGTGATGCTGCGGAACGAGAATTTTGTTGTTCTCCAGGTACCCCATCAAAGCTTCAGATACAATGGACTCCATAACGCATATCACAGGAAGTAGTGTTATCGGGCGATAATTTGTTGGTTCAGCATGGCTGCCACTTTTGTAGACTGGCGTGATGATTCCGTGCTTCCACATTGTGGGGACTTGCATCTCGTTCACACATCTTTGAAAGAAAATTGCTAGTGGCATCGCCAAACTCATGGCAGCAACTTTCAACTCCTTCGGGCGAATACCGTCCGCACACGGGCAGCTGAACTCGCGCAGAGACATCAGGCTTTTCAGTACAGCTGCAGAGGTAAACGATATGTGATTAAGCCCTGATGGCAGTATTATCTGATTAGTAAGGATATATGATGATTGCACACTTTAATAGGTACGGCCAAATTGTTGTCCAAGAACATTGACTGCCTCTTGTGCGGTTTGGCTTAATCCGCTTGCTGTATGCAGAGCAAGAATACCGCGCTTAACACGGCTCAAACTGTAAACGTGTCTGTATAACAGTTTGGGATTGGAGGAAACCTTTTCCACTAGACCTCGTTGGCTCTTCACTTTCTCCTCCCGGACGAGTTTGACACAGTGATTCCTTGGTACTGTATAGACATCCCAGGTATGATCGTTCGGGGAGGCTATGTAGGTGCGCTATGCCAACTCCCTTAATGCATTTCATTTACTTGTCCTGCTCCTTACAAAAGACTTCATCCTCTTAGGCCGGTAGAGTTTGGTTTCAGATGTCCTTGCCACGAGCTTGGTAAATATGTTGACAACTTCTCCGCAGGCCACCTCAGAGGTCAATTCGGCTAAGAACGATCAGGTTGTTGCATCAGTGAGGTCGGATAGGTCGTCATAGTTGGTTACGACAAGACATTACTCGGCAGGCTCTTTAGGGTA